TCTTTCCATAAGGTAGGTCATCTTTGAACTGTCCATAAACATTCCTTTGTAACCCAAAAGCTGTTTTTTATGCTCTAGCATAAATGTTTCTATTTTCTATAACTAAAATGGACCTAAAACAATAAAAAAAACAGTGGAAAAGCACAATTTAGTTCAAGAGAGATAGAGAGAAGGGATGGGGGGAGGGAAAGAGAGAGAACATGCAGTTGAATGTGGAGGGAGGTGGGGAAAATCTGTAAGGAGTTGAGGGAGGGAAATTATGATCAAAACATTGTATGAAAAAATTAAATATAAATTAATAAAATATCTATTGATGATATTGGGGAGAATCTCCAAATGTAATAAAATGACTTTTTAAGTTACAAAAAAAAAGAAAGAAAAGAAAAGGTGATTGGCAGCACTCATGCGTGATGGATGCCCATTTAATCTTCCAATTCTGTTCCCCCATGCAGCAATGGATGCCTGTTTAATCTTCTGATTCTGTTCCCACTACAAAAAGTTGTTGACTACAGATTGACTTGGACAAACATACAAATTTTGCAGGGTTAAAACATCTAATCACCAAGTTTACATCATGATTCTGTGGCCTGAAGAAAATCTCAATTAAGACAGTTCTTAATTCTGCATTAACCTTGCTGACCTCAAGTGTTTATTTTTCCACTTTGTGTAGTCTATGCTATTTTGTCAATGTGACCTTAATCATCTCCAGATTTGTTAGGTGCTGTTGAATACAGTGTTCTAAGAGGTTCAGGGCCCAAGAGCTCCAAGGTGCATGCTTTCCTCGTTGGGTAAATAGTACCATATCAGAAATTCCTTTTCTGATTTGTTAGCTTAATTTGGGGAGACATAATTAGTTTTTAAAAACCAATTCAACTTTAAATAACTTGTTTTTTACAATGAAAGGTAATTCTTAACTTTCCATCATCTAGGTCTGCTCTTTAGTCTGTAATTTTAATTTTGCTTATTTGTACATGTGAATATTGTGATTGTTCATTAACATCCTAACTCAGATCATTCTTGCTCTTTCAAAAACAAAAACTCTGTCAAAGAAGACCATGTTGCCTTTTGAAAAACATAATATTTCTGTTGTGCCATTCCATAATAGAGAGACCATAGTTGATATTCCTTTACCCAGTATTTCTTAGAATGTGAAGATTTTGAACATTTCCACCATAATAAATGATAAATATTTGGAGACATAGATATGCTTAATCTGAAACATTATACAAAATGTGCAGGTATTAAAACATCATAACACTCTACTAAAATATGTGCAATTTTCTGTTTTTACATATCAATAAAATAAATTTAAATTTTTCCTTTTCATACTAAAAATCTCATTTAGGTAAATATAAACAAATATATCTGCATGTACAGTGACATATATGCATATATATATACACACACACACACACACACACACAAACACATCCATACATTTGTATACACATACACTTACCTTTTTAAGCATTGGTGGATTTTTTATACCTATCTACCATCTTCACAAGTAAAGCAATGAATATATTTGTTATTGTTTTATATATATATAATATATATATACACATATATATGTTATCTGTCAACTCTGAGAATATTTAAAATGAAGGCAGCGATGGGTCTTTGTAATAGAGAATTGATTATACTGTAGCCCTCCATCCCAAAGTGTAAACAAAAATCACTGACAGATGAATTTAACATATAAGTGTTTATAACAGAATTTTATTTTATCATGAATTCTTAAATATGAAGCAAGTAAGCAAATCAACATCTTAGGAAGAGCAAAACAGATTCTTCCTAATTTCTGAGAAGAATTCAAAGTGGCAAGTGAGAATATATATAGTAAATTGTCCCCAAGACCTTTTCCATTGTAAATCTGACAGAGTTAATCAATGACCTTTACTACTATAGGCACCAGTTAGAACTAGTAACTTACCTGTAAAAGAGCCAAAGATAAGAAATAAGTGAAGGGATGGTCTATGAGATGAAAGATCCCTTAAAAGTTTGATCATGAAATACTTCTACCTGCTGTGATATGCCTTTCAGGTTATTAAGCTTGTTAGAAATGTGGATTCGTGCATTGAGACAAATAAGTAATAAATGCCCATGCAACCAGTTCTAGCCTATGTATATTCTTTTACTTTAGTTGCTTATAAAAGGCACTTGTTAGGTATTGTCAAGTGAAGAAATTTTAATAGCCAAAGCTTCAATATCCATTAGCTTTGGGCATTTAATGAAAAACATCTGTATAGTTAATTCCATATCTTCCCTTTTCATATGGATCACATTTGGCTATAGAATCTGTTAGGATTCTGTACATGCGCAGCTTGGGGTCTTGTCTGGCACCTTACATCATCAATGAGAGACTGCGCCCCAGCCTTAAAGCCAGACATGCACCCCCATGCTCTCTCTCTCTCTCTGCACTTCTCTCCCTGTGTTTCCTCTCTCTGTCTCTGCTCTGTTCCCTCCACCAGGCCTGGCTCCTCCCACCCCCATCCCTCCATTAAAGCTCTAAAAACTAATATTGGGTTCTGCTGTGCCCGTGACTCTTCCTGCGACCAACCAGCACCATTTATCCTTTCAGAATCCTCATGCATTGACTTTAAAAGGGCTTCTCCAACTCTACTTGAAATGTTATAAAACAGAACAGAGTAATTGCATCATGTCAGCTTTCTAAACTCAGAAAAAGTCTGAATTCTCAAATCTGTATGTCCCCAAAAGTTTGGAGTGAGGAATCATGAATTTATAAGTAATTTAATAGTACAATCATCATTCATATGTTCCCAATGAGACTATAAATGTGTGCTTCTGTAAATGGGAGAAGGGCAGGCTAGCAACATTTATCAAAAAACAAAAAAGTGCTGACCAGTTGGTTTTGGATAACCAATTTGAGGACTCTTCCCTGGAAAAACTACCTCTCCAGCTTTCATCATTCCTTAGTTTCCAGCAGCTCATTGTCTAGGGTTGGTGAGCCCTGAGATTCCACCTTCCATGTTTGCATGTCTTTGGGTGTCATTCTTGTTTATATATTGTTTAGGCAGTCATGCTGTTGAGACTTCATGAGTGTAGTTTCCCTGATATCTCTAGGAAACACAATATTACAGCAGACTTTCTAGTCCTCTGGCTCTTACAGTTTTTCTGTCCTGTTTTCTGCAATATTCTCTGAGCCTCGGGTGCAGGAGTTGCATAAGTAACATTATATGGACTAAGCAGCTTGTTATCTATGTAACAACAGTGTAAAAATAGGGGCCAGAGGCAATGAATTTGAGAGAGCAAGGTGGGTGTATATGAGAGGGATGGGAGGGAAAAGGGGATAACAGAAATGATGAGATTATATTTTAATTTCAAAAAATAAAATAAACACAAAAGATCACAATTCTTTAATCTAAAATTCTACCTCCAAGAATTTACCATTACTAACATATTCAATAGAAAAATAATAAAAGGTTTAACTTTGTAGTGTGTCCTACACAGATGGTTCATGTTATAGAAAGTTCACCATAGTCAATAGTAGAAGACTGTGAACGTCTACAGACCCAAGCCATGATGGGACTACTATTTTGTGATATTTAAAGTGGTATCATGCAGTAGTGTTCATGCCATTGATACTTTGTCAAGTAAAATAACAAGCTATATAATAATATTTACTTTAATTAAAAATTAGTCCATAAACATAGAAAGCAATTTGAAATATATTCACCAAAATACAAAATATTCACAGTGGTTGTTTCTGTATGGCAAAATTGCTGATAATTATATTTTTTCCAATAACTTTGCTTTGTTCATGTTACTCCAACAATAGCACTGTTAAATGTCTCTTAACATACTATAGGCATGCAAATACATAATGAGCTTCCAAGTTATATAACTTGAAATGATGGGATTATATTCTAATTCAAAAATAAAATAAACACAAAAGATCACAATTCTTTAATCCAAAATTCTACCTCCAAGAATTTACCATTTCTAATATATTCAATAGAAAAATAATAAAAGGTTTACTTTGTAGTGTGTCCTACACAGATGGTGCATTAAAGATTAGGTTAAAGAATTGTGATCTTTTGTGTTTATTTTATTTTTTGAAATTAAAACATAAGCCCATCAAAATTATATACCTTGAAAGCTAATTTATGTATTTGCATGCCTATAGTATAGTAAGAGACATTTAACAGTGCTATTGTTGGAGTAACATATATTGCTATGAACAAAGAATTAATATTTAGCAAGGAAAATTAAATGTTATTTATATTTGTCAGACTTTATTATGAAGCCTCAGTGTACGTGGAAAGTAGTTAGACAGTAAAGCCTTTGTTCTAAACAGCATGCTTTTGCCAACAGCAAGAATTACAGTAATCGATATTCTCAGTGTGAATGTACTAAAATTAAGCTTGGAGAATTAGAAATATTCTCAAGAAAAGTACATTGGAAATTTTAGACTTTTTTTTTTTTAAAGAAACTATATCCAGCAAGCTTCTTAGCAGCATCCAAATTCTGACCCATGTGGTGGGAAAGTCACAACACGCTACTAACTACCTCAATCAATTGAGAATGGGGAACATCTTTGTTTCAGTCAGCACAAACAATTTGCTATCCTCAGAAATATATTTTGAAAATATAGTGTTTATCCCAAAATGATCCTTTCACAACACAAATCAGTAAGAGTGTGGCATGCACTCTGAGGAAAGTGGTTTGCCTTCTGTATTGCTGAGTGGTGGTAAGTGATGAGGTGCTAGCCTACTGCTTGGCAGGAACAAACAGCCAAGCCCAGCAGGGAATCTGTAGGGAAGGGAGATTTGGTTTGAACTACCAGTTTTCAAGTTGGTGCTGCTTATAGCTCTCACAATGTGTCTGAAATTTGGGCGAACCCTGATGGTTTTATTCGTTTTATTCTACTTGGAAGACTGTTTCTTTAATCTATGAACAATTAGATTATATTACTTTTTATTAGAAAATTGTGATATATATTCTTTATTTACTGAAAGAAATAACTTTTTGTTTTTCAGAGCTTCCATATGGCTGGGAAAAAATCGATGATCCCATATATGGCACTTACTATGTTGAGTAAGTCTCTAAGCGTGATATTAACTTGTTATACTATGTTGTGAAATTGTGTTAACATTTCATTTATTGAGCACATGTGGCTACAGCCCCTTCAATTCTCTTCCATCTCTGAAGTGTCTGCAAAGACTCTAGTGGCATGGCTAGCTGTTTCTTGATTCTGCAGCTGCCTGATGTGTCATTCCTTTCTTTGACTCATGATTCTGCAACATCAATTGGAAAAGTGTGTCCCACACTGTCCTCTGAATGAATGATAATTAAAGATATTGTAGTGAATGCCTTTCATTTTGAAATCAAAATGTTGGGAGCTGGCTGCTTGTGCAAAGAGATGTTCTATTACACCAGATTTCAAATTCAATTAACTGAATCAGGCATGCCTCCCCATTGAAGGAAAAGATAAAATTTTGGTGCTTTCTCGTTTGTAGGACCACAGTGTATCTGCAGTGTTCTTTCAGTAGTACACTGCACTTCTATGTTACATGCTGGTTGCTGCATCACATTGACATATCTGATCATAGTATGAACTTTCTCCATCTATATATTGTTTAATTCAGACTAGAGAATCTACTAATGATTAAGTTACTACACACATAATTTTTCTTAAGAAAATAAAATATTCATAATTTTCTAAAATTAAATATGTCATTTACTTTCCATTACACTCTCTTCTGATAGAAAATGTCTAACTCTTATCTATCATGTGGTACTCCTAATGTTATTTGGGCAAATCACAAAGCCTACATACAATACTACCCAAGAAATTCAGTGCTTGCAAAAGCAAAGACTTTCACAGTGTTTATCAACATTGAACTTTTTCTTCTCATCATAATCCATGTACAGTAATAATCGGGACAGTCAAGGGTCGTGTATTAATGGCTTTCTTACTAAAGTGTGTTGTGATAGCATTCACGCAGTCATTGACTTTTGCTAGGTGTCAAGCCCTTCTTTGTGCTGCAGATGTTCAGATGAGCAAGACTTGTGAACCCCACTGCCCCTAAGCCTAACCTGCATGAGCACTTGTCTCAATTACTTTGACCCCACCCCCCTGTTGGAGCACCTGGAGAAGCCCCAAGTTTGGCTCCGCGGTTCATCATTTCCATATTCACAGTCAAGGTGAATTCAGCACACTTACTATAAGCAATTTCTAACATAGTATTTATCCTCTAATGTGTGGACACTCAACAGCTATAAAAAGTAAGATAAATACATGGAGTTATTCCTGATTGCAAAGAAGAGAGAGAGAGGCTGAAAGGAAGAGGGAGAATATCATTTGTAAATACTTGCATGGACTCTGAGTTCTATTAAGCTGATAATCAATGAAATACTTATTTTAATAGTGGTAAACTTTATCCTGAATAAATGTAACAGTATGCTAAGTATACTATGCCCTAGCTTGAATGCTTGTCTGTATTTGTTTGCCATGCTCAGATCAAACCTATGGATTTTCACATCTAGGAAAGTACTCTACCACTGAGTTCCATACTCAACCTTCCCAAATTGTCTTAATTCACCTAATCAGGCCACAATATGCCTCAGTGTGTGGCACCTAAAGTCCAAAGTGCTTCCATATGATGACAGAGGATTGAGATGTGTGACATGCCATATCTCTTTTTTAATACATGGTCTCATGGAATCAATGAACAATGATCCTCTCCTTAGTCCCAGCGTTGGCAAACTCCATGAAGGTCCAGGTAACAAATATTTTGGAATTCACACAGCCTCGTCTTTTCTAGTATACAGGCAACCACTGGTATGACTTTCACGTGGGAGGGGCTCTACACAAAGTATTGTTTACAAAGACAAGAATGCAGGTGAGGTCCAGTGAGTAAGTCTTAGTTTGCTGATTCCTGACTTCTTCTAACTCTTTAGATTATTTCTTCATGTCTGTCTTCATGAGCTTTGAAACTAATTTCCAATGTGCAGACAGCATTTAACTTAAACCCCTTCCCTCTGCCCTAATCACTTATCAGGAATATGATAAGCATCCACATATCAGATAGCTGTTTCTACCCACCTGATCTTCATGTAAAGGCCTGTAGAAGGTAGACTCTAACAGTCAGCCATTGACTTGGATACAGACTATATCCCCCCCAAAAAAGAAACCCTCTTTGTTAACTTTTTTACTTTGAATTGCTTTTTATTTGTTTTTAATTAAGTTATGCTCTTCTATTTCTCCACTTCATTTTCTATTTATCACAGCCATGGCTAAAAATCTATTCAGAGTTCAATCATGTTTGTTCACTTAGGTCAGAAAAATGAGTCTGAAAATTCTAGGTTTCAATTGCTTGTAAGGCCACATATACAGGTCATAGTGAGTCAAAGTAGTTGAACTTCCCTCTAGTAGATTGAGCTAGGCTATTTTGCATAGCCTTGTTATTACAGAACTCCGGAGAGTGTACCAATACTAGTTACTAGATGTGTGACTATGTCAGGCCAAGCAGAAAATTGAAACAAATAAGCAGATAGTCCAAATATGCAGTTAACATTAAGTCAAAAATTAATAAAATATTTTTCAGAAAAATATTTTCTGAAATACTCATCAATGTATTTTAAATACCTCAAGTTATTATATGTATGTTATATATCACACATATATGAGAGAGAAAGAGTGTGTGTGTGTGTGTGTGTGTGTGTGTGTGTGTGTGTGTGTGTGAGTGTGTGTGTGCTGCCTGAAGTAAGAAATGTCTTCCATCAAAACAGAGAATTTGTCATATATTTTCATTAGAGTATATCTATTTACATGATTTTTTTTCAACTGTGTATCATCTCCACTATGCTGCCATTGGCACAGGTGTATATTGGCTCTGAAAGTAGTCCTGCTCATGAAACTTACCAAACAGGTACACAAACAGAGGCCATGTGGAACTTTAGATCCATATACTGTGGTTGCTGGGGTGGGGGAGGAGTCATGTATCTTCTTGTAGTATTTTATACATTAAAGTAATACATTTCTAGTCTAAGTTAACTTATCAACTTTTCTAGTGTAGATATAAATAATACAACATACAATTTTGAGATTCCATCCAGTGGTAGAATGTTTGCCAAGCATGTTCAAGGTTCTAGGTCCAGTCTACACCACACGCACACTCCTTATATTAATATGCTACTCATAATTATAGTGATAACATTAACGTAAGCATCTTAAGAAATCATATTTAAAATTGTTGATTTAGTTAATTTTTAAAAAGCAAGGTTATCAAATGGTCAGCCCTTAAAATATCCATATAAGGAACAGATACAGACTGAGCTGGTTTTATTTAGGAATGGACATATATGCATGCAGTAACAATAAGTGAAGTAAGGGGCCACGGATTTGAAGGAAACTGGAGAGGGGCATATGAGGGGCTTTGAGGAGAGGCAAGGAAAGAGAGAAATGTCATAATTAAGTTATAACTCAAAAATAAAATTAACAAAACAAGGTTGTCTTTATAAATCTTCATAAATCCATGCGCAAGAAAATAACGGCTCACTAATGCTGTTAATGACAGTGGTGGCCGTGGGCAGTGGATTCTTTGTAGAGTTCCACTCTTTACGACTAATCATACATCCATTTATGCAGTTATAATTACTGGTTACAAAATGACAAAGAGCATCTGTGTTATCCAGTTGTTTAAGTTAAAAAACACAACCTGCATTCGTAGACACTAGAGGGATGGACACCTGAGCAGTCAGAGACTCTTCTTCTAGACCAACAACTCAAGGCAGAAGCTGTAGAGTGGACTCCGCCCTCTGTCAGGAATGGCAGTTGAAACCAGTGCTGTGCATGTAGCCCAGCTGCACTTACACACATTCTCCTGCCAAACAATGCAGCCAAGCACAAAAGAATTCCAGCAATCAATAGCAAAGTATGTTTGCAGAGCTAGGATGCTGCAAAGCCTTGATTATACAGGTTTTGACCACCATAACTTACCCAGTATGTTATAATTTTGTTCTGGGTAAATTCATCTTTAAAAATTATGGGTATACTATATCCAACAGCCACGAGGAAGAAATGCTCTTCCTAATTATCATTACCATCCCATCAAAATAGTTACCATCTGTTCCATGCACAGTGTGTGCCAGGAACTGGGCTCCTCTACCACATTTACCATCCTCTGCAGTGATGGCAAAACAAATGGCCTCCCGTTCACAGGTGAGGAACCCCTTTCAAAGGAAGCTGAGTTACCCCCTAGGGACCACACACCACTGAACCTGGGGCTAAAATGTGGGCAGAGGCAGTTTGGCTGTAAAGCCCAGACTTCTGGAGAATAGTGCCTCTCATAAATTTCACATGTACAATCCATAATGTTGTAGGCAAGCCTTTGAGTCTCAACACTAGGACATGAGGACTCCTACAAGAACATGGTGACGTCCTTCTAGATCTAGAACAGTTGCACAGCAAGATGCTCAAGGCTAGAAGGCCATGGTGCCTACCTAGCCATGTGAAATGAGCCCCTGACACAGCATTAAGAGTCACCAGACCCGTGCCTACTGCTGTGAAGAGGGTTCCTAAGCAACATGGGACTGAGAACAAGACCTGAAACAGCAGATGAAGCCCCTCATATTGTGATGCCAGGCCAGGGAGCGTGGGGCACTTGTTTGCAGCACATAGAATGGCATTTTACGTAAGGTGGACCCCTTAACATCTCGTCTCCTGTCATCTGCAAGTCAGGCCGATAGGCTGAGCTCTGTTCTAAATGCCGGGCAAAAGAAGTCAGGCCAGGTTTTCCTGAGAGACACCAAATCCATGCTAGTGCCACACTTCGTGGTGTATTAGAAAGTCCTGAAGCTACTAACTAGAAATGTAACTGTCACTGTTCACAAAGAAAGGGAAAAATTAATGCAAAAAGTGCAGACTGTAGCGCTGAGACAGCTGTGACTTTTGTACAAATGTGGATTTCTCTCCTCTTTTGTGAAATGATGTCTGCTGGGTACATTCTGGTTTTAATGGCAGCTACACAATTTGCTTAAGCAGCTAATCCAGAAGATACTGTTTCCTGGGTTGGCTTTGCTGCAAGCTGCCT